AAAAAAAAAAAATTCTAACAGAACAATTTTTATCCATCAATAAACATAAAACTGTCAGTCCTGATAATAAATTAATACCTGGAAGAACTTTTAATTCAGCTTCATCACTATACTTCGGTGGCCCACCACTTTCAACTACACAGCGATAAAGGCCTCCATCTGCTTCAGTCGCATTGCTGATAACCAGCGCTCCACTTGGAAGTTTGGTAACTCTATCGTCCAGGAGAAGGGGCTGCCTGTTCTGTTCCCACCGCACAAATGGGACCAAATCGGCATTCACTTCACAGTTCAGAATTGCACTGTTTCCAGCATAAACTGAAGAAGGCTCTGGTTGGCTGGCAAATCTGGGAAGACCTGGACAAAAAAAGAATAAATAAAATGTAGATAAATATTATTTTACAATGTAGTCATGGGGGACAGGGGCAAGTCAGCCCATGTGGCCACATGTATGGTGGAACCAGGGTCAAGAAGAAGGTCCCTGGATCAGGAAGTTGGCTACACACAGGATTACAGCTCAAACAGTACATGTATGAGAGGCACGTGGAGTCAGAGTCCTCACAGCTGGAGAAACAATGTACGAATATGGAAAGGCAAAAGGATAAAATCAATCCCACGGTACTGGACTAGAATAGAGGTATCAGTATAAACTTAGTTTTATATAATTATAGATACATGAATATAGATAAATCTATGGATGTATATGTGTGAGATATACATATATTTCATATAGCCATTACACACACACACACATTTCCTAGCTTTGCCCAGAGAGTCCAGAATCAATGTCACTCTAGTGACAATGAGTACATGTGATGACCTAATCTTGATTTCTAAACACCATTCTCGACTACAAGGCACCAGTGCTGCCTGAAGAAATGGCTGATTCTAGGACTGGAATGGAGAAAGCAAAGATGAGCCTGGAATGTCTTGTGACAGAAAGTAAGGAAGCACCCAAAGAACAACATGGATGTTCGAAAGGACACAGAAGTGAGACTGAAGCAAGTTTCCCTCTGGCTAAGTCTGGGATAATGATAATTAATGCAGGAAAAAATCATGAACAGATACTAAAACTAGTAGGTAAAAGTTGGATGAGGGATAGGATATTTATAAACCATCAATTTATCTTTTCTCAAAATTAGTTAATAAAAGTACAAAATACTTATTAACTTTACAGTGGAGAAACACAGTACACATTATTTTAACTAAGTAATGAACGTTAACATCACCAGCAATGGAACAAAGCATTGCATGCTTCCTGATATGAAGTACTAAGAACACAGCACTACTTCTGTGATATTCCTCCCCGAAATGCAAAACCCGAGTCTATTCATAGGGGAGAATCAGAAAACACAAAGTGAAACAAGGAAAAAGAAGAATGGTTTGAGACTGAAAGTCTAAATGATCCAAGTACTAACTAAAACATGTAATCCTGGACCAGAAAGGGAGGGGGGTATGTTTCTGCTTTTGTTCTTTTGTCATTAAGAACATTGAGATAACTAGTGAAATACAAATGGTATCTATGGGTTAAATGGTAGCATTGTATTAAGGTTAATTTCCTGAAATTGACGGATGGTTATTTAGGAGACTGTCCTTGTTTTTAGATAATATTCACATAAGTATTTAGGTAGGGTGTAACATCTGCTACTTAAACTTCATGGTTCAGCAAACCACTCAGAAAAAAATGTACCTGGGTACATAGATATTGGGGGCAGGGGTGATAAGGCAGATGAGGTGAAATGTTAGCAATCGGGTAATCTGAGTGATGACTATCATGGGATTTCCTGGTGTCCTTCTTGCAATGATTCTATAAGTTTTAAATTCTTTCAAAATATTAACAACAACAAAAACATGTCATCATAGTATTCTGTAGATGCCACAGAATGCAGTGGCTGAGAGCGTAAATTCTGGAGTCACATAATCTCAATCTGAATCCCAAACCTACCACTTCATGGTGTGTGGCGTTGGCAAGTTACTTATCTTCTAAGCCTCGGTTCCTCCATCAGTAAAATGAGAACAGTAAGAGGCCTACTAGGGTTGTTAAAAAGTTAAATGTTTAATATAAATAATTGATATATAGCATATTGCCTGACACATAAATACTCAACAAATATAGCTACTATTATTATTAATGGTAATAGCTAAAAAGTGATTCTGACATGCTCAGACTACAACAAGATGTTTCTTTAAAGACTAACAAACTTATTAACTTATGAGAAACAACCCCAGTTCTTCTGGTTTTATGATGGTTAATTAGTCCGTATGTAAATGACATACATTTACAGGCTGTCTAGCTACAAATTTTTTATTTTTTGTTTCAAGAGGATTTTTGAAGAAAATCAATAAAGATAAAATGAACCAAATATCTACTTTTCAGGAACCAGAAAGAAAACTGGAAGAAAGGAAATAACAAAGATAAACACAGAAACTAACAACGGGAAGAAAAGGAATCTGAAATAAAACCAAGAGCTATTCTATTTTTTGAAAATCAAAATATTCTCACTCCTTAGGTCTCATGAAAATGAGTAATTTTTAAAAATGTAAACCCAAAATAACATGTGGGGAATCAGCAGACAAGCAATTTCAAAAGGTTTCTGAAGAGAAAGCTGATGGAGGAGCTAGTGAGTGAGATCAAGGCAAAAAATGCTGGAGTTTCCTGGCAAAGCAAGAGGCCAGGCTGTCCTGCTGCTTCTGGGGAACTGCAGGGGAAAGGAGGAAGGATGGGAGTGGGGCCATCAAGAAGGGCTAACAGTGTATGTATGCAGACCACCCAACCCCCCCACCTCTGAGCACAACAGACCCACAGCCAGGGAACTGCCCAGGAAGTAAAAGAAAATTTTCTGCTGTGGAGAAATGAAACAGCCTAAAGAAAAAAGAGCTGTCATAGTTACGTCTATGAGCTATCTACTTAGTATTCTTTCAAAAATTCCCCTTCTTGATTGACTGGGCAAAATCAATTTGCAATTGCTTGCAATCAAATAACTATAACCCAAAAACCTTTAGAATGAAAATCTGGCAATATCATTTTTAAAAAATTGTTTTATTGAGATACAATTTATATACTGTGAAGTTTGCCATTTAAAGTACACAATTCAATGGTTTTTAGTATATGCAAAGTTGTGCAACCATCGCTACAATCTAATTTTAGAACATTTTCATCATCCCCCAAAGAAACTTTGTACACTTGCACTCATTCCCCATCCCCTCTTCCCATCCCCCATGCCCTATCCCCCTAACCCCAGGCCCAGAAAGCCACCAATCTACTTTTTGGCTTTATATATTTGCCTATTCTGGACATTTCATATACAAGAGTCCTACGATATATGGTCTTTTGTGACTGGCTTCTTTCACTTAGCATAATGTTTTTAAGGCTTATCCATGTTGCAGTATATATCAGAACTACTTCATTCTTCTTTATTGCCAAATAATATTCCACGTATGAATAGACCACACTTTGGATATCCATTCTTCACTTGATACACACATACGTTGTTTCCACTTTCTGGCTATTATGAACAATGCTGCTATAAAAATGCATGTACAAGTTGTTATGTGAACTTATCTTTTCATTCCTCTTGAGTATCAGATACATAGGAATGGAACTGCTCAGTCATACGGTAACTCTGGTTGGGTAACTCTGGTTGGTTAACATTCTGAGGCAGCGCCTGACAATCCAGTGCTGTCTTTTTAAATTGCACACGTACACAAAGTACACCCTATGATGCAGCAATTTGTACAATTACTAAGTCTACTAATCTATTACATAGAAATGAAGATCTGCAAAGGGTTATTCATTATAGTAATTTATATCCATGTAACTGTTCATCAAAAAGGGAATCTTTAGAGAATTCACAGTGTATCTATGCAATGGATACTATGTAACAATTAAAAAGGCCTCCTCTTCATCTCTTAGCTTAGATGGCACTTCCTCCTGATACCCAGGCCAAGGGCAGGTGAAACAGCTCTCCTATAGAATCTTGTCTGTCGCCAAAGAATTTATCAACTTGTATCAAAATGGCCTGTTTACTTAAATATTAGGTCAAAAACCATTTCCTGAAAGATATGAAAGCTAAGAAGAAGGATGGACAAACCTAGCAGAGGAGAAGAGAAGAAGCGTGGAGGATAGGACTAACAGGCAGTGGGGAAGCTGTGAGCAAAAAGCCAGAGGCAGAGAATGAAAGTGGTGATAGAGGCCGGGGCAGGGAGGAATGATAAGAAAAGAAGCTAGATTAGCAGAAGCAGCTCATGACAGGGCTCCAGAGGCCTGTTTTGACATGAACCTGATGCTGTTTCTGGAGAGCTGCCGGAGAGAGAGACAGAGTGCTCGGACCAATGTGGAGAATGGACCGGAGGAGGGCAAGGATGGGGCAGCAGTCAGGTACCACACTGTGGTGAGGGATGACGGGTCGGCTCAGGAAGGAGAATGTGGATCAAGCACAGAGACACCAGGAAGCAAGAACTCACTGGATCTGGTGATTGGATGTGGGGACAGCTGAGAGGAAGGAGTCGCAATTAAAGTCCAGGTTAAGAACATAAATGATGAACAGGAGCTGACCTAGTGACATTATAGGGGAAGTCATAATGCTAATTTATTTATCAACATGTTGAAGGAAGCCTGGCAACTAGATTTTAAAAAGACGAAAGAAAAAAGAAAGAAAAGGCAAATTGTCAAAAGGGGTGATTTATTTCTTTTATTTTTCCATTCTCCATCTGTGATTACGGAATAACTACGGTGGCTTTACATCACACTCTAATTCGATTTTGCACATTCGGCTCCCAAGAGGAAGGGCCATCATGCTGTGAATGAAGGAGCAAATATACCCCGAGTGAGCACGAGGCAGGCGACCATGGCCCAGGAGTGGGAGTGAATGGGAGGCCAGCCTTAGTAATGTTCTTTTTTCACATGTTAGCATTACACCAACGGGAGTATGACTTAAAGATAAAACCATTTTTTTTTCCACATTTACAATGTGAACTTTAACAAAAACTAACTACTTCACCTGAAAAAACACTAATCTGAGAAATGCCAGTGTCTACCACAAAACAGGTATGACTCATTTAGGAACCAGATCTTACTATTCAAGACTCTTAATTTTTTCTTACATTTTCCATCATTCTTAGAATAAGGATGCTCTAAAAGGAAATGAATGTTTCTCTCTTTAAAACTTTCTGTTCTTCACCTTAACATATATATAACATACAATACACAATGCATCATATATATAGCCTAAGGATTTTTTAATAATTTATACAATGAAATATCATTCCCTTGCTGAAGGCATAAAGGAACCAAGATTCTGGCTATACTGCAGGTTTTACAAAACCACACTAAATGGTTATGCTGGGTAGGATAAAAGTTAGCAATCAAAGTGACTCGATTTTCCTACACAACTTCCTCTGGCACTTCCAAGTTAGAAAGAAAATAATAACTGGTTGAGTTCTGAGCACTCTTAAGTCATCTAGATGATGAAAAAGTGGGAAAATGCTCATTTGTTCCTCCCAGCACTGAGCCAGCCCTACATAACGCATAATACCTGTTAAATGAGTGTACCTGCTGTTACCAGTTATGACAAGTCTAGGGTAATAGTGCTTTTATCAAGATTTACTCTTTATAAAACTTTGAAAGTACAGTACATTACTTGACAAAACTTACCTGCTACCATGAGCTTGGCTGTTCTGCTGACAATAGTTCCCAGACTCTCCACAGTGGCCACACACTGATAATACCCCTCATCAGGTTTGTTGTGTTTGGAATGCACCACGTTGCTGATGAATAAAGACCCATCTGGGAGAAGCTGGCGACGATCATCTGATACTAAGTTTAAAAAAGTCCCATCTTTCTTCCATTCAATTTTTGGCGAAGGGTCAGAATATGCTGAACAGTTTAATATAACAGAAGAGCCTCTAATTGAGAGTGTATCCATTGGCTCCACCAGAAAATAAAATGGAGTGAAAGTTCGAATGCTGGATCCTACAAAAAATAAAAAATAAAGAAAAACACAAAGTTAAGCAAAACTTTCTTCTATTTTTATAAGAAAATATAGTATGTCCAAAAATTATTCATAAATCATGCTCTTCGGTGATGATACATAAATGCAGTCACTTCACTCTGAATATTTAATAAATGTTATTTTTTACTAGGAAATCAAAATTTGACTCACTTAGAAGAAAAACATTAGAAAAAAAGATCCTGCTAGCTGAGATAATTAAACCTTGCTGGATGGTAAGAATAACTAATAACAGTTTTATTTTAAACCCTACAATGGGATTTATAAATATTTAAAATTATTATATTTAAAGTGAAATTTTCTATGGAACATAAAGGAGGCAGAAAATTGAAATGATGCTTTGTTAATAAGGCATCTTCCTATGTTTATGAGCCGTCTTTCATAAAGTCACTACACATACAATTTGTCCATTTTTCTAGTGGATTATTCACCCTGTTGACTTGACAGCAACCTTTTGGTATAGCTGTCATATTTTGCAAATATTCTTTTTTCTATTTTGACTGATTTCTGTCATAAGAAAATAAATATTAACTCCATAAAATTAAATCTGTTATACTTTAAAAGGTCCTCTTTATCCTACGATTATAAAAAAATGTCAGCTTTGTTTTATACCAGTATTTTGTGGTTTCATTTTCTATATTTAATCGTCATCTAGAATTCATTCTGATGTAGAAAGCACAGGGGGGATCAGTTTAATTTTTATAAATCCTCGGCTAGGTCTTTGAACATGGGAGAAACATAATTTAAAGAAAATATTTGCTATAAACCTTATATTCCCAGCCAGAGAGAGCTTTCCATCTTAAAGCTTTATCACTTTTCTTCAAGAAAACTACTGACCAAACCACCTTGTGAACAATCAGTGAAGACTGTCAGTGAACAATCAGAGGCCAATCAATGAAGAAAACAAAGGCTGTTTTTCAGCCTTTAATTGTTAACTTATTTACATTATGAACTTAAAAATGACACCAATTCTTTATTAGAAACTGAAAGAATAGCTCTCAATAAATACAAAACATACTGGCAGAGGGAAGGAAATAATATTCACTTGTTTTAACATTTTTCAACACTTACAATGATAAGCAAATTCAAAACTGACTAAACACCCTTTCCCAAACACCACACGAGGGTCTCCATCCCCATTTGAAGAACATGAAATTGAACTTGAAATTCTTCAAGTCTTAAAACTCTTGAAAATGAGCGTAGGAATTTTTCAGAAGTAACCTGCAGTAATTTGTTTCTAGTTACTATAAAATGTTATATAGCATTAATTTACTGGAACTATAGTAAAATTAATCAAAATATAAACTTCAGGGCAGTACAAAATAATAGCTAAAATAAGAGAAATATTTTTCTACCTTTCCTATATAAGTATTAAATCTTTTTTATGCCACCCAAATTTAAATAACTCAGGAACTTAAGAGAAATGTATTATTAGGTTGGCAATCAAAACATGTGAATTAACAATTTAAAATATTTTATTACATATATTAATAAACAAAATAAATTTAATTTTAAAATTCAGAAAATTTTTTGCCATTTAAAAAAAATTACACCAATGCAAATCTTTTACAGTTTAACATTCTATCTCGCTTGAGTTTATTTCATCTTAAAAGTCCATATCCATATCAACCAAACTGAACAAAAGAGTGTATGTGTTAAAAAAATTATACTCATAAGTTCAGAAATGCTTTTGAAAATCAAAGCACTTCAAAATTTTACAGAAAATTTTGTATTACTCAAAATTCTGTATTACTCAGAATACGGCGTTACTTAAGTATTTATGTGTATCAGCTTTGTATTTTATTCCCTCAGTAAGCAGGCAGTGACATAAGATGTTCTCCCTTCACTTAAAATCCTCAAAGGTTTGCCATTATGCCTTTTACAAAAATATCTAAATAAACTCCTTAACTGGACTTTCCACATCACTGTGACCTGGCCTCTGCCTACTTTCCATCACTCTCCCCTTACCCTCCCAGGCATGCTGCACTGCTGTCAGGCTCCATAGCTCCTGCAGGCTTCACACAAGCTTGTTCCCACCATCGCCCCTCTCCAAGAAACTCCTAGTCTTTGACATCAAGCTCAACTTAATATCTCTTTCTCAAAAATGCCATCTGTTCCCAGTGCCCAGACAAGATTAGTTTGCCCTGTTATAAGCAGACATAGCATACAGTATCCTACCTTCGGAGCACTTCAAATGTTCTTCATCTTTAAATATGTGTAATAATTTGTTTATTAAGGCAGAGAGGTTCCCCAACTTTCTCGGCTCCTGGTGCCCTTATTTTCTCAGTAATTTTTTTCAAAATTCCCTACACTACAAGAAATACCTAACAGTTCTATTTAATAGTTATGTTCAAACAAATGATAAATATTTATGTCCTAACAAGTGAAAAAATAATACACATACATTGAAAAATATTTTAATTTCATTTTTAAATAACCACAATTAGTTATTATGGAATGTGTGCACCTACTGGGCACTTCACAACTTCTTAAACCATGAAATTAAACCTGTTCAATGATTTTTGCATGGTACTTGCTTTTTATCACAGCAAGCACCAAACACCAAAATTCACAAAGATATCACACCATCGAAATGAAGGAAGCACAATCCAGTGCTGAAACTGTGAACCACCTTGACCTAGAAGTTTGCAAGGTGTCCAACAGGTGTCGCTATGTTTCCCTAGAAAATTTGAAATATGCCTGGGAGTTCCCTGAGGTGTCCTGGGGGGCATTTCAAGGTACAGTTTGGGAACTGCAGGCTTATAATCTATCATTCTACAGTATTTTTATTCACCATATTCCCAGTGCCCACCTAGCCAGGTATCAACGTTTAGATTATATAACCAGGCAACTTCTAAAGACTTCCACTGTTCAAAGTATTAGTGAGACCACAGGTTCCATTCCCAAACCAGCCAATTAGTATCACTCTTCCACAAAAAAAACTTATTAACAGAGTTTTTGTAAATTTTGATGAGTTTTTTTTTTTATTATAAAGAAGAGCAACAAAAGCCAAAAAGAGCCAAAATAACTTACAGGAACAAAGTAAGGGGATTGCACTTATCAGTATTTATAAAGCTACAGTAATTAAGCCACTATGGCTCTGGAGCAGGAATAAACAGAGCCATATAACAGGCTAGAGAACCCCAAAATAGTTACATGTATTTGGAAACTTTACAATAGAGATGATATTTTACATCAACTGAGGTGAAGGATGAACTACTCAATAAATGTTACTAGGACAACTAGTTATCCATATAAAATAAAAATGGGACACCTACCACATATGTTTTTATGTATCAAACATTCTCTACATACTAACCACTCATTTAATCTTCATTACTATCTTATGAGATAGGTACTATATCACTCCCAGTTGAGAAAACTTTAACTTGTCCAAGGTCACAAGGGTAGTAAACAGAACCAGTCTATGATCTTAACGACATTACACTTTAATGCCACTCATACACATACACACACACACACACACACACACAGAGAGAGAGAGAAAAAAAATACATTCCAGACCTATGAAAAAATTAAGTAATAAAAAGTTTTTTAAAATACAGGAATAACCCTGGAGTTAGTCAGCCTTTTCAATCAAAATAGAGACCCTCAAAGATAGAATAGATATGCTTCACTTCATTGCATTTAAATTTTTAAAAATTTATGGCAAAATATAACAAAGCAAAAGACAGGCAACATTGGGGTGAAATATATCACATATAACAGATAAAGAATTTAACCCTCCATAGGGTGCAATGCACAAGTTACGAGTTCGGGCGCAATTCATCTACTAGATGCATGTATGACATTTTTTATTTAAATTGAAAACGAATGAAAATAACGTGTAAGCATGCTTATTATTTATTCAGAATGAAATTTTAATTTGCCACAAGGTAAAAACAATATGTTTATTACATAAATTCAGTATAAAAATAAACAGAAATTCAAAACAATCTGTGAGATCAGTTGCGCCCGACAGAGGATTAAAAGATCACAACGCTCAATAGAAAAGTGGGTGAGCCTGTGTTTCAATAAAACTTTATTGACAAAAACAGGCAGCAGGATGGATCTGATACACTGACCACAGTTTACTGATTCCTGCCTTAGAATATTTAACCAGCAAAAAATGAGTAAATTATGTTTTAGTTAATCCGATTGAGTTCTGTGAAAAATGAACAATGCAGACAAGTGTAAATTATATCATTTTGTAGGCATATGATTATATGAGCCTTGACAAAGGTAATAAAGTGTATACCAGGTTGTTACCACTGGTTACTGGGAGGGTAGGGTGGGAGGAGACTGGGGATGGGGGCGGTGAGGAAGGGAGATGAAAATCCCCAAGCACACTTAAAATAATTGTGTGACAAAAATCAGCTTGTGTGTATAATCCATTTATAAATACTATACATATGTGTGTGGTGGATGTGGGTATATATTTACACTTGTGTGAATATCTACTAAAGAGATACATTTAAAAAAACTAGTCACCAAAATGGGGATTATCTCGAGGTAGTGTGATTTCAGTGGTTTTTTCTTTCGTTCGCTTTTGGTATTGTCTGAACATTTTACCTATGTAAAAATTACTATTGTTTATTTACAGGAGGGAGACAATAGAAAAAGTCTGGGGTATATTCATTTACTGAGCTTGTAAAATTGTAAAAATATACAGAGGGTGCCAAAAATATGTATACACATTTTAAGAAAGGAAAAAACTATTAATTGTAACACTCAATATATACTGATAACAAAAGACGAATACAAGTCACGTTTGATTTCTGCAATTAAAAGAGGTGCTCAAAGTGGTTACCATCAGCATCCAGACACTTCTGATTACAGCGAACTATTGCTTGAGCACAGATAACATCTTTTAAAATGTGTATACATATTTTTGGCACCCCTGGTATACATGTTATGTAAAAATTTTTCAAATTTCAAAATATGTATCATATGACCCCACTTA